AAAAAAATCCCATTCAGAATCCTCATGTATTGAAATCTTCCTATTTACGAAGCTGTTTTAGGCTATAGACAAAATATATGATCTGCTTCTTCTTCTTTTTTTTTTTCTTTTCAAAAGAGGTGTTAAGATGTAAGGTTAATGTACATCCAGCCTGTTACTTATGTTTTAATCCATTACCATGTTCAAAACAGTTTTTCTGTAATCAAATTCTATAATAAGAGTCCTATCTACCATGACACATAAGGAAATATGTGGCGCAGATATTACAAAACCATACAAATAAATTATTATTTTTTTATATAAGTCAGGGGTATTCAACTAAAGTTCCAAGAGGTGCGGCCTCTATATTTTCTTCCAAGCAGAGGTCCGGACAAATTTTTTTATAAATTACATGTATTGAATTTTTACATTTAGATAGCCTACATGTGAGGTCATGTGACAAAAAATACTGTTTCTGTTCAGGCTTTTCCTCTTGAAATCTATACTATTTTAATATTTTACTTAAAAGCATTATCTACTAAAAATGTCTACAATAACCAAAACGTTCTCATCTTGAGCAGAAAAGAAAGATAACCAGCAGTTTCAAAGTTTACGTTCTGTCCTAGCCATCTAACAACAATTTCCCAATTATAATTACAACCAGGGGGTGTCTTCCCACAGACTGACCACCGAGAGGGGCGTGGTAAGCAGTTATAGCCGCCACGTACACCTTCAGGGTGGAGTGGGTCAACCCTGCAGAGAATCTAGCCTGCAAGAACTCTAGCACTGAACCGACTGGGCAGTTAACTGGATCAAGCTGGCGATCTCCAGGACACCAGGAAGTGAAGAGTTTCCACTTCAGGGCATACAGTTTCCTCGTAAAGGGAGCTCTGGATTGGAGGATGGTCTCAACAACCTCAGCTGAGAGACCGGAAGCTACGAGTTGTGCCCCCTCAGAGGCCACACCCACAGCTTCCACAGCTCCGGGCGGGGGTGAAATATGGTACCCCCCGCCTGTGAGAGGAGATCCCTCCAGACAGGAATCTCCCATGGAGAGCCGTCGAGAAGGGAAATCAGGTCCGAGAACCATACTCGGCCCGGCCAGAATGGGGCTACTAGTAGCAGATGGACCCCGTCCGGGCGCACTCTCTCCAGAACTCCCGGGAGCAGAAAAATCGGAGGAAAGGCGTACAGACGAAGCCTCGGCCAAGTCTGTACCATAGCATCCAGCCCCAGTGGAGCTGGACGAGTCAGAGAGTACCAGAGGGGACATTGCGATGTCTCTTGAGTTGCAAAGAGGTCCACCTGAGCCTGGTCAAAGACTCTCTATATCTGCTTCACCACCTCGGGGTGAAGCATCCATTCCCCGGGCCTCGGCCCCTGCCTCGACAGGACGTCTTGCTCCCATATTGAGATGCCCAGGGATGTAAACGGCTCTTAGCAGAGATGTTCACAAGTCTTTAACTTGGAGTCTGAGTCAAGTCTGAAGTCTTTGTTGCTGGAGTCTGAGTCAAGTCTCGAGTCTTTGGTCACGAGTCCGAGTCGAGTTTCAAGTCATTTAATGGCTCACTAAAAAAATCCCTCCTATTTACGAAGCTGTTTTAGGCTAGTGACAAATTATTTGACCTATGATCTGCTTTTTTCTTTTTTTTTCTTAAAAAAAAAAAGAGGTGTTAAGATGTAAGGTTAATGTACATCCAGCCTGTTACTTATGTTTTAATCCATTACCATGTTCAAAACAGTTTTTCTGTAATCAAATTCTATAATAAGAGTCCTATCTACCATGACACATAAGGAAATATGTGGCGCAGATATTACAAAACCATACAAATAAATTATTATTTTTTTATATAAGTCAGGGGTATTCAACTAAAGTTCCAAGAGGTGCGGCCTCTATATTTTCTTCCAAGCAGAGGTCCGGACAAAATTTTTTATAAATTACATGTATTGAATTTTTACATTTAGATAGCCTACATGTGAGGTCATGTGACAAAAAATACTGTTTCTGTTCAGGCTTTTCCTCTTGAAATCTATACTATTTTAATATTTTACTTAAAAGCATTATCTACTAAAAATGTCTACAATAACCAAAACGTTCTCATCTTGAGCAGAAAAGAAAGATAACCAGCAGTTTCAAAGTTTACGTTCTATCCTAGCCATCTAATAACAATTTTCCAATTATAATTACATGATTTTTTTAAATGTTCTTAGCCAGATTAATAATGCTAAATGTAGATCAGAAACGTCTTGCCACCGGAGAGAGAGAGAGAGAAAGCGCACGGAGCTGAAATGGCTTGAATAAAGCGCGTTTGGCTTTAGATAAAAATACTAGAGCAGCCTATATAGCGCTGAAAGATATTTACTATAAACGACCCCGAGTGCTTGTTATGTGATCCACTCTACTGTTTTGACGTGCTGCTCACAAAATGGTGCTGCTACGGCTCGCAGTCCGGATGGATGCCGGGGTGCGGATGCGGTCCGCCTTTTGAATATTAGTTATATAAAGATTAAGACTAGAGTTGCTTTTAAAATATTCACGAGTCCTTTTCCTCGAGTCGAGTCAAGTCTGGAGTCATTTCAGGTCGAGTCTGA